GGTCCTCAGCAGAGTAAGAAGGGGACAGCGAGAGAGAGAGAGAGTGAGAGCAATGTGGACACGGGAGTCATGAGTGTGGGTGATGTCGTCAGTGTTCGTGCATTTTCTCTTGGCATGTGTTTGTCTACCCGACTTTTGTCAGAGAGCGCTCCAATGCACGTATACTAGCGAAGAAGCCAGCTCAGAGATGAAGCGTGGGTATGGGAGATGAGTGAAGTGAGTCATACCTTGGTTTTGGTTGGCGCTATCTGTCTCTGACGGGTGATCTCTGACTTTCTTACATGAGTCTTATCACGAGTCAGTGCTCACTCACTATGCCGAACATTTTCCCGGATTAACTGGTGCGAATAAACTGGGTGAGGAATAAGTGAAACGCGCGAGTTTGTACTACGGGGTCAACTCTTTCAATCACAGAAGACAACTTACGTCACTAAGAATGACCCTTGCGTAAAGCTTGATTTGTTTGGTCTCATTCTTGATGATTGGAAGAGGAATAACAGATCAGGGAGTGTTTGTTAGTTCTGTGACGATCTTTTTCGAAAAACGACCGGACTTTGTGATGGCTCGTACACTATCTGTTCTGTCTCTTCCATTAATATAATTCCCAATGGTCCAGTAATCAGATGAAGCTAGCCTCAATGTGATAAGGGACGAGAGAACTGTCGCCAGTACTGGCACATGAGTGAGTGCTTGGTTAGATGAACAATACGTTTCAAATGGACAATCATGGTTACTCTAAGAGTACATTCGTTGTCGGAAGTTGTAAGAGTTGACTGGTAACAAATCTGATGAGAGATGCCCTATGATTAGGCCAGCCAAATAAGGAGAATTTACTCTCACCCTATGCCCCTCTCGATCTTAATTTTTTTAATTTTTTTTCCTTTTACTTTATTGGTTTGCCCATGAAACGGTTCTGTTAATGGAGTGTAGACGGGCTGACGCATCAGCTAGAACTTGATTGATTAAACAATAAGCGACGAGTATGATGATCTTGGTCGAGTTCAGACTCCCTAATTAGTGGGTAATATTATGCTTCAAGTGAGAATATCAAAAGTATACAGTTTTAGAATCAACCTAGGCACGTACTGCATTACCTTCCTCAAATGAGTTTGAATGGGTAAGAAGAAGTTAGTCTTGAGAAAACTACATATCTCCTCGTGAGGTCCATACTCAATGGAGACTAATGGCTCTCGTCTTGTCTGAGTCAGGAGAGGAGGGTAGCAGTCTTGATGACATCACTCACGGGGTAAGAAAGAACAGATCTAAGGAAGGCCAGCACCTACTACCTCTTTCCTTTGACTTACATAAAGCAAGATCAATCATGCGGAATGCTGCTATTCTTAGTATGCTAAGGTAAGGCAGTCTTGGTAGCGTGCAAACCCTTGCTAATTATTGTATAAGATACGCTTGCATTGGACGAAACTATCCTCGGTGACATGTCGCGTCACATCTGAGTACTAACTATTGCCTAAGCTTTTGGTTTAGGGCACCAGTGAAAATTGTACTAAAAACCACGAGGTACAGTATGAGTTCATTTCACACGAAAATCTGTTAATCGGAGCTTGAATATGCCCTAAAGCTCAGAGTCGTCTTCTAGTACAGGTCCAACACAAAACATGTTATTCGTTAAAATATGACATTATATTGTGTCCTATTTCTAACAAATTCATTTTTGGTCGCAGCCTAAGCAACGTAGGCACGCCCATCCAGAGTTTGCCCACATGAGGAAGTGTGCTGAGATCCATACTTGTTAAACTGTATAAATGAGATCCCCAATGGTGAAGCGTGCTGAGATCCATACTTGTTAAAGTTCATACACAAATAACGATAGGCACGCTCGCCCATTCGGGAACCCTATGCGGAAGTGTGTTGGGATCCTTACTTGTTAAACTTCAAGTTCATAAATGAGATGAGCAAGGTGTCATGATTGCATCATGGCTGGATAATATAATTTTTTAGGTTAGCCCAAAGTTGTACAAGCATGTCCATCCTCTCGCCTAAGACGGTTCTTTGGATTTGCGACGAGATCCGGGGTAAGTCTTCTTCAGAGGACGTGGGGCAACGATAGGCGCGCCCATCCGAGAAGCCTATTGTGGAAGCGTGTTGGGATCCATACTTGTTCAAAAAGGTGTTTATAAATGTGATGAACAAGGTGACATAACTGAATCCTTGTTGGATAATACATCTCTTCAGGTTATCCCTAAGTTGTGCAGACATGTCAATCATCTCGCTCGAGACGGTTGTTTGGATGTTGTTGAGGTCCGGACTTCTTTAGAATACTTAGTTTAAGGATGGACACGCCCATCATCTCGCCCAATACGCGGAAGTGTGCTGAGATTCTCACTTGTTTACACTTGTGCTGAGCAAGGTGTCATGATTGTATCCTAATTTGACATGTTTGCTTTCAGCAATGTGTCATTGGAAATTTCAAGTAATGTAAAAGTTACAGTAGCAGTTGAAGTACAAGCGGTTAATTTTGACATACAAGTTGTTTTTCTGCGACAACACCTGTCATATTACATAAGAACTTCAAATGTTGCTTATTATGTGATCAAATTCGCACTTTAATTGACCATTAACAAAATGTTTGGACACGAACGCAAAGTTGCTAGTTACATGTAAGTCATGCGGTCACAAATATGTGATTTTATGCGCACACAAGAGACGTGATGTCATTGATCTTTGAATCTTCGCATAATGAACCTCAAACTCACACACTCGCCGAGATTTGTCTTTCATTCACACACCAATTTGTCATGTTGCACTACACAAACTAATATTATTCAAGGTTAATTCTACGTACAACTTCGGTTGACATGAACACAATTTTGAACAAGGAATGCAATGCAACGAATTTAATAGCACGAGAGACGAGTGAGACCTGACTCAGATTCCAAAGTCAACACGTGACGCGAGACTGGCAGTGAGCATTCCAAAGACAACTCAAACTCAAAACGATAAAAGAAAGCAATGTCGCTGTGAAAGCGACAGTTGAATAATGTCGAGATTATCGAAATATAATCAGTAAGTAATGAAAATTTTTCAAACCAAAGTTTCTAAATCAATCGAATCCATCAAAGACAACGGCGTTCCAAGACACATGATGCCAATTGTCGTCTAATATCCAGAATATCTTTACAAGAGAACCTGAAAGGTGGCCGATCACCACGTTGCAACAATGTCGCAAACATCAACATAAACACCCGCAACTAGCTTCATCTACTTGTCTTGAAACTCCTTCCACCAGAACATTTGTTGCTACCGACCTCCAACTGCTACACGACCGGCTATGTAATGTCCGACGTTCCAAATAATGTACAATCAAATCGAAAACACTAAGATAAAAACTCGAATCAACTATAATGTGAGGAAAAAAATCAAAAATTTCGAGGACATCATCTCTTAAGTTGATGGAAAGGAGGATCCAGTGATCGTTATCTTTGTGGACAAGAACAAAGATAATATCATATCGAAGCAGATCCACGTTTGTAGCTCACCTTTCTACCCCACCGTATCCTTGAAGTTGCAGTTTAGTGGAGAAGAACGAATTAAAGTTGAAGACTTCAAGGCCCGACGGGATATCACTTATCGCACATGCGGTCGACCCCAACAGCGTCATGTAAAAATTGACCACCTCTTCATTCACTCTGCCGTTGATATGCAAGAGGGTGAGAAGATCTTTTGCCGCAATTCGCAACTGACCGCCAACGAGGATAGAGAGAACAGTGTGAGATGGCACCGAGCGTCGTCCAATGTCGTCCAAAACCCACAAGCTGCTAGGCGCAGTCGCTGCAACGAATCTTCCCCCGCGTGTTCCACACGTTGTGGCCCGCATTGCACAACATCGAGCAAAGGACACGTGGGGTAGTGAGAAATAGACAGTCTAAGCATTGTCCTTCATTGCACGATGCTTTGCTAAGTATTATTCATATATGGCCTGACCCCTATTCATAAATTGCAAATATGTACTTTTCTCTGGGGGCAGAAGGGAAAGACACTCCTCAATGGCAATTGCATGCTCTTTCTTCCCGATCTCGACATCAACCCCTGATGCATTTAACATATCCTTGTGTTTTGTCGTCAACCCGGGGGCTTTCTGCAATATGTGTTCCGGATATTTCGAGGACCTCAGTGCTCGAGACGATCCTACCCCTGTACAACCAAAGAAAGACCAAATGGAAAATGAATACACATTACCCAACACGAGTCCGACGAAAGTGACAATGTAAAAGAATCATATAACCCACAAGACGCAGAACCTCTCCAATTCTAAAAGTCCGAATTTGCATGGCCATATGCACGGAGTTGTGTGTGTCACTGGAGAACAATAGGGCAAGCGCAATCGAGTTTGAGACCTCGACCTTAACAAAGGAAAACAACAACAAGCCACAAAAGCGAAACGCTAACATTCCCCGAAGTTCGGATTCCGACAGACTTTTTCCTATGGCAAGCGTACAAAGTCTAACCATCTCACGCATTGACATAGGAAGTGCGGATTACGGCGGACTTAAGCCACGACTCTGTGCGTGAAGAGAAAAACCGTCATTCAATTGAGTTGGTCATGTTCTTAGCCGGGGAGCGCGTACGACGCGGCGTTCATCACTGCTTACGCAGGCAAGCCCAGCACGTCGAGAGCTTGAGTGCCGACCCTAGATCTTTTCGAGGACGTGACAAGTTGTCGGCCCCCGAGATCGCCCTCCCGGCCACTGGCTAAGGTGGCGGTTAATATCGGAGAGGTGGGTGGTGAGAAAATGGTGGCATAGGGTACGGAAGGTGTGACGTTGTAACGGTCGTCCTGGACAGGCGCTGCAGACCGTTGCCCGGTCACCTGCTCGTCGCCGAGTATCCTATCGATAACTTCAACGATGCTCAATTGTTGACTTCGTTGAGCGGGCTCACAACAACGGAAACCTCATGGCAGCGGTGTTGGAGATCGACTGCAGCCGTCAGCGGTTGAACCTCATAATCTTCAGGGTCTGCTGACAGGTCACTGACCACCTGCGTCTCCATCTCCATTGTCGTCGCATCGTCGTCGACATCAAACCCCAGATGACCTGCATAAAGCTACCCGAACGAGTCAGACGACTCCTCACAGTAGGCATCCTCCTCATTGCCCAACCGTTTGTCGCCTTAGCCGCAGCGTCACCTTCCGACAGTCACAAGTATTCTCCCGCAAATCGTCACCTTTGAAGAGAACGTGCATGCGGTTGTCAGCCGAGTACAAGTTGTTCCCCACTGGAAAACGTTTCTTCTGCTGCGTCCTCCTGACCCACTTGCCTGCCATTGCCTTCACAACGGGCAGATGGCGCAGGTCGGTCATGAAGGAGTAGTCCCACCGCAGAGGGACGAAAGCGACGACCGTCCGGTGTGACGGAAACAATTGCTCGAGGAGGGAATTCAAACTCTCAATAGCTTCCGGCGTCCACTGTTTGAAGTCCACCGGATCGCGCAGATCGAGAACGCACGTATGGCATTTGGTGGTCCCAACCGCTTTCTCCAACTTCGTGACCCTCATCTGCGCCTCCAGAGGGTCAACGCTGAACGGGGCAATCGATGTCATGTCCCCCGAGTCTTTCCACAGAACATGCACCACGCCTTCGGCAAGCGCGACCTCCATACTCTTCGCCCTACTGTCGGTCAACACGGAGAGGACCTTGTTCTTCCATTCGGCGGATAACTTCTTGTTGAGGGCGAGTTTTTCCGTCGCCTTGATCATTTTGACATCCTCGCACCCTATGTACGGCGGGCAGTCCTTGAACAGCGAGGCGTCACTGACGAGCTTCCTGCTTCCGTCCCACAACGCGGGATCCATTCCCTGCTTCTCGAACTCCACCAAAATCGCCTCGCGCTTCTTCAGGAAGGGATACGCACGTGTACAGTCCGTATCCGCCCGGTTCTCGTGCATAAATTGGTAGTAGTTCCACAATCGCACCAAGATGAGGTCGCACTTCAGCAGGTGCACTGCTTCCTGCACTCCCAGCTTCCCTTGCTTCGCCAATGAAGCGGAGCCTGTCTGCACCCACAAAACCTTGCAGTTGAGGACCTTCTAGAGCAACCGACATTTCTCGTTGTCGGTAAGGGCTTCCATGCTCTTCGAGCAATGCGGATCCGGCTTGGTGACTTGGACAAATGTCGGTAAGGGCTTCCATGCTTCCATGCTCTTCTTTTGGGGCGCCTCGACGGGGACGTTGTAGACGATCTCCTTTTGCCCCAACTTCTCGTTTTTGATGTGGCTAACGCCGGGCCTGACGTCCTTCACTTTCCTTTTCTTTGTGATCCACTTCGCCCCCTCAGGTGTCAGAAGTCTCCCCGTCTCCCATTTCTTGAAGAATTCCATACCCAGTTCCCACGCGCTTTTTCCAGCCATCACCAGTGGAAAATAAGAGCGAAGGGCAGCGTTCTGGTTCTTAATATTGTCCTCGCCTTTCTCATCAACGAGAATCCACAAGTGGTTGTAAGGCGTCTTGTGAAGTGCATGCGCACAGAACTCACGCCATTTCTGCACATGAGCTTGTTTTCCATTGGGGTTCCCCATAACAGCCTTTGGGAAACCCTTTTCCTTCCACAGCCACCGAATGTCCTTCATTGATAGTTTCAACTGTCTTGGAGGCGCCTTCAAGTCCTTCTTGTTGTCCTCCGAGCTGACCAGAAAATACCCTTCGAACTCCTCGTCCGAGAAGTAAACCATACTTGCAGGCCACCTCTCGAAGTTGTATCTCAATGCGACGTCGGTGTCGAGCAGCGCCTTGGCTGCAGCCGCGTTGTGCTTCCAGTCCTCTGGCTTCAGACGATCCGCCCGTACGCCCGGCTTCGGTTTCTCCCGCTCGAGTGGCGCCAGCTTAAGGGTAAGCAACTCGTACGTCTTCTCGGCTTGCGAGAAGGTCATCCTCATCGCGTCAATGATGAGCTGTGTGTGCACGGGATCCAACGACCGTTGGTTGTACGACGCTTCCCACTCACCGATCTCGACGACCCGCGACGGGCTAATGAAGAACTCTCGCTTTGTCCTCACACTGTCTTTCCATTCGAGGAAGTACGTGGCGTTGATGTCAATGGGACCCTTCGCCTCGAGAGCACCCGACTGAGGCTGTTTCTGCACCGACGTCGGGCGTTTCCGACCCGATGTGCCCTCCTGCCCCTCAACTCCCTTCCTTTCCCCCCCCGTCGTCTGGGGGGTCCTTGCCGTATATTTCTTTGCCAAACCCGCACCCTCTTTCTGAGGACCTCCCCTTCTCTTATGCGCAGGCTGCTGTACACCTTCCTCATCCCCCCCGGTTGACGTCGACGGCCGGTCGAGAACCGGGGTGTGTCCTTCCACCCCAGGAATACTCAGGACAGACCGGTCTCCCCGCCTAAGTGGCGAAGGCCGCGTCTGCTCCTGTGCTTCGTCGTCGCTATCGTCGAAGCAACCACGGACCTCGCTCCGATGGAGTTGGGAAGAAGGACGGAACCCAAATCTCCCCCTTCCATGGGAGCACCGCTGGATTCGAAGCCGGTGCACATCTGAAGAGGCTGCGACAACTCATGGTCGCCTTGAACGTGGGAGGGTTCCTCCAGGTCGATGTTCCTCTGCTCCACCAAGTCAAAAAACTCCCTTGCCGAAACAACACCTCCTACTGCGAGATCTTGGTAGAAAGTGGTCTTCACAACCCCCGCCCCAAGCCCCTGGAACCTATGTGACACCCGCGGCCTAGGCCGCGGGCATTTCGGCCGCTGCGGCCGAGATTCTCCGCCTCAGCCGCGGCCAATGAGGCCCAGTCTGCGGCCCGGTTTTTCAATATTTTTTTTCTCCCCCTAAAAATACGTAAAAAAAAAATACAAAAATATGGGGGTGTAGGGCTTGAAAAACCATACACTCCTATATTTTGTTTTTAAGAATCCAACTTTGTTTAAAATTTTTAAAAAATAAAAAATTACATAGATTTAAAAAAAAAAAAAAAAAAAAAAAA